CGTATAATATAGTTAAGACTGCTGAGCTGAAATAAAAAATAGGTAACACTTACTGATAGCTTAACAAGTACCAGACACTTCATATGTTATTGTTTACCATAATCTTCATAATAACCCAATGAAGCCAGTTTCTGCTATTTTTACTACTTTATAGATAATAAAATTGGAATTAGATTAATTTATCCATGGTAATATATCTGGGAAATGTCAAAGGTTGGTCTTGAGCCAAGACTGACTAGAGAACTCAGACTTAACCACAACGCCTTACTGTTGTGGAGTTCTCCTATGACAGTGACATTAATAAATAGAGGTTTTTAGCTTCATTGCAGATTATGTGCCCCTGGGCCATTGCCCTGTTTGTTGTTCTTTGTGGACTTCACTGCTTTAGCTGCTGGCAGCTTGGTTCAGAGGGCGAAGAAAAATTAAAGTGGTCAGACACTAGTTCCTGACCAAGCAAGTTAGTGACACAAATCCTTAAACTGTCTGAGTTTTAATGTTGCTGTAGCTGTAAAAATTCAAGAAAAACATTTTCTTTAATTTGGGGAGCACATCTTTTAGAGAGGCAGAAAGGGACTTCAATTACATTTTTGGTAGGTTTTTTTTTTTTTTTTTAACCTGACTTTTTGAGGAAAAAGACTTACAAAAGTAATTTCTTCAATCTTGATAACTTGGTATGCCCATTTCGGATGGAGAAAACAATAAAAAAACAAACACCTGGATCACAACTTAAATCATATGTGAGCTCAAAGGCAATACAAAATAATATATAATGTTAACAGTGGTTATTCCTGGATGGTAGGGCTGTGATTTCTTTTTATACTTTTTACTGTTTTTCAGACTTTGGGGTATTACTTTGAAATGGGAAAAAGGAAACAACTTTCTTTAATATAAAAACAATGCACTTCATAATCTTACCTATTGACACTACCTAGACCTTTATCTATATAGGCCTTTTTGTATTTACACTTTGGACATTGATCGGTTTATTTTTAGAACACTGAGTGAAAAACCATTTCTTCGCTTTAGATGCCAAGAAAAGTTTTTATTGAAATCTTTAGTCTCCTTTTAAATGGTACATAAAAAAGGAAGATATTTTATGTTGGGCTTATGGATATGACCCATCCAGAGCAACAAACATTTCTCTTCCCATACTGTTTTCTTTGCCTATTTAAACAACATACAAGCCCGGCCAGTATGGTTCAATGGATTGAGCATCGTCCCATAGACTGAGAGGTCCCTGTTCGATTTCCGGTCAGGGCACATGCTGGGGTTGCAGGCTTGATCCCCAGTAGGGGACATGCAGGAGGCAACTGATGGATGTAGCTCTCTCACATCAATGTTTCTGTCTCTCCTTTTCTTTGTAAAAAATCAGTTAAAACATATAAAAAAACTAACACATTTTTACATATGTTTAAAATGCATTAATGCATTATTTTCAATGCTGCTAAGTTAGTTAAGATTTTAAAGTTTATATTTCTTTCCTAGTTTAACTTCTATATCCAAAGATTCTGGGGCTACTTGATTGCTCAAGGTAAAGAAATGCAATGTGTTATATCGATTCTGCCTTCCTTTTTATTCCTGCCTTCAGCAAATCAGGTTAAATACGATGGCTTGCCCTGGCTGGTTTCTCGGTGGTTAGAGCGTTGGCTGGAGGACTGAAGGATCACGGGTTTGATTCCCAGTCAAGGGTATGTACCTGGGTTGCAGGTTCGATACCCAGGCTTGGTCGGGGTTGCGTGGGAGGCAACCAATCAATGTGTCTCTCTCACGTGGATATTTTTTTCTCTTCCTCCCTCCTTCCCTTCCACTCTATCTAAAAAATCAATGGAAAAGTATCGTCAGGAGAGGATTAACAACAAAATACTATGACTTATATTTCATTGGTTATTGCTTCTGGGCCCAAATTTTTGATATTTGATAATTTGTATTTTGTTACTGAAAGTTATTTATACAAAGACCACATATTCTGTTATTTCACATATCTTACAGTATCCCTTATGTAAGAAGTAAGTTAGAAAGAATCAATTTCACAAGGATATTAATTGCCCTGGTTTTATTTACATTCTGTGGTATATACATACCAATTCAAACTACCTTCTCACTACTACAGTCCTAAGGTAAAACCCAAGCTTTGAAATAGGGAAACAATAATTGGATTTGTATTAGCTACTTTAGGAGATAAAGTTTTTTCATTTATGCCAACTTGTAATCTTTATTAGAAGAGCACATCCAAACTTCATTTGTTCTTATGCTGTAAGACCTCTCTACATTTCCAGATGGCCTATAAAGATAGTTATATGAAATAAATATCCACAGTTGAAATACACTTTTTATATATTGTGCAAATACTGAAACCTATTTTGCTAAAATACAGTTTGTTCCTAACCATATGAGAGCTATGTTTTACAATTAATGAAAGATTTCAAAAAGTAAGTTACACCTTCTGATCTTAATATGCCCTGGTATTCCTGCCTTTCTTGTAAAGTGGTTATAGAAAGATTAGACAAATTTTAGTTCTGGGGCTTATCTAAGGTTAAATGCATTCTTATTTGGTATTAAAAGGTAGAAGATAGGTATTTTTCCTCATTTAATATAAAAAGCATCCACTTATTTAGAAAGCCAACCGTTGGTTAAGGTTAATTTATTCAGTGGTTGATCTAGATTTAGATCAATAGCAACTTTTCTGTGTGTGTGTTGTCCTTTCCCTCACTCCCTGCTGAATATGTAGGGTTTTTTTCTTTACTAGCAATCAAGGTATAACAACAGTCACATTTCTGTTTCTGGCCCCTAAATTAATAAATGAGCTTCAAATAATTAGTCGTGAGAAAATGGGAATGGTCACCTTTATTTTAATAACAAAGTTTTCAATGTGCTCTTCAAAAATGGAATTGTTAAGACCTGCTGAAGTTATAACTAGACTTGCTAAAGCAGCTCAATGTTGCATTTGGTTTAAATGGGCAACTACATACTTTCTTTGAAAGAGAAAACGTTACAGACACAAGAACTGAATAATAAAAATCCTTTGTATATTTACTATTATTATTATTATTATTACTATTACTTGAGAACTTTTGCTCTTGGAAAATTGAGGGCAGTATTGCTTCACACTCATAGTCTGGTATTAGGGCTTCCGGTTTGGAGAGAGACTAGTGGTTTTCCTCTGCGTTATGGTGTTTTTATTTATACAAGATAATAGGGACTGCTTTGTATGCATGTGAGGGAGATAAATATATTTGAACTAATGCATTAGTGAAATAAATTAGTCCAAGAAACATGACAAACTGAAGACATAAAATCAGCATTTTCTGAAATACTCAGTCGAGAGCAGAGTATTAGACTGAATTGTAATCATAACCCATGGTGATTGAATCTTGGCAGAACAAAGACGGTATTGCATTCTGGGGAATTTCACTGAATAAAAAAAGAAAAGTAAAAAAAAAAAAACTTCTGAAGGGATAACCAAATAAAGAAATAGGAATAAGCATGAGAAAAGATTTCAAGGAAAGACTTCATACTCCTTCCCTGGGACCATCAGATAAGGCCCTTCTAGCCTATACAGAACCTGGCCATAGTAGTGGGGTTTTTTCCCCAAGAGCTCGTGGGCAGCTCAGATTGTAGTTAGGCCAGACTGCTCTGGATGAGAAGTAGGAAGCATTTTACCTACTCTGGCCCATTCAGTGACTCAGACTTCACAAGCAATTCTCTTGTAAATAATAAATAAGCCTCTTTAGAACTAAGAGCATATTGAAACTCCTGTGAACAACTAAATTAAATGTTTTCTTACGGAGTTGCAATGGTCTGGATGACAAAAATAACACACTTGGAGAAATGTCTCAACACTAAAGGGCGGGCAAGAAAAAAGGACCAGGAAATTGAGTGCTTTATGTGTTTATACAGTGGCTATGTTTTCATTAGCTTACACTAATTTCAATTAAATACCCTTCCCTCTAGTACTTAGATTCAAAACCCTCTAAGGGGGTAACAGTTTTTCCTTGGTAATCAAATAGAGCCAGAGATAATGTCATCCAAATAAAGGGAAAAGTGGAAAAATAAGACACTCCCTTATTGATCAGCTTTCTGTAACTCTGGCAGGAAGTAATCAAATATGTAAGAATGCAAATACGTATAAGAATAAGGTGTTAAGAATTTTTCCCTCATTCTATCATTCAGATAGAAGTTTCTGGGTAATTTCAGGAATACTTGTGTCAATTGCTTACGGAATGTCCTCCTCTCCTTTTCAGAAAAAATATGAATATTATACAGTTGCAATGTGTCTGGACATTTTTATGGTTTATGGTATGGAAAAATATTTTTCTGTTTCTACATAGGATAGATTTAGAAAATAAATCATCCTGCCACTTCCCCATGAAAACTTGATGATGGACTGAAGGATGTCTATGATTTTCTACTAAGGGAAAAAATTAAGTAATATTACATTTTAGTCTCTAAGTAGAGAAAACAAGCACCAAGTTTCTCTGTGAATTCATTAAAGCAAATTGAGTCAAATCTTATTCTACCTTTCTAACTAAAGACAATTGATCTGGTTCTAGTGCTATTTTCCATAACAAAATTCTCTTTGTCCCTATTTTATTTAAAAACCAACCCTAAATCACAACACAAATTACATGCTGTCCTTTATCCACATAAAGAATCCTCACAGCCAGCAAGGCAACTTACACTTAAAAGCCTTTCCAAAGAAACAAGCCCAACTCCTTATTGACAGAATCCTTCCTAGGTGTTATTTCAAAATAAACATTATCTATCTCAAACTAAATCATTGCTAATATTTTCCACATATTATCAACAGTTGCAAATCCAAGATATTAAAGAAACAAGTCTATTAAAATGTGGTCCTTACCATCTGTCTAAAGCTGGCTGACAAGTGTTATATTTACAAACAATTCCTTTGTGGATGGATTACAGTATAAACTCTTTTCCACAAAGGCAATATGTTGCAAAATTGATGTCTCAGGGCCACTGAAGTGACATCATAACTTTAGTCAAGCATTAAGAAGTTCATCATCTGAGTGTCCAATAGCATCTGGGTTTGAAAGTGGATCCATGTCTGCAAATAGATTGAACCAGGCTGACACGTCTTGGTTACCATTGTTGGGAGCTATTAAAAAAACACACACACATTAACGTCTCAGGTTTTTGAAATCACATTATTGTCCTTTTGAATCAAAAATATTTTAAGACAAATGAAAAGAATAAACTATCAATTATAGCTCCTTAAGGATAATTTTGAAAAACTAATGCAGATACCTCTACTTTGCTGAGTCTCTTATATCTAAGTGATTGCATGTTGCCCTGAAAAAAGACCTGATTAAAAGTGAAAAGGCAGGCAGTAATAAAGTCTTCTGAGAAACACTAAGATAATTTATGCAAGCCTCTCAGAAAAGGTTCAAAATTAAAAGTAATCTTTGTTCCTACTACAAAGTAGAAACATTACATTTGCAAACTTAGTGCTTAAAATGTTTATTATAAAAGCAATATTAAAATATTAACATAAGGGGGAAAATTCCCCCTAACCTTATCACATTAACACACCCAACAGTTGTTATTTTGGTTTTCAGTTGTTTCATTTGTCATTTCCTTGTATACTTTACAAATTTTTGATACATATTTTTAATTTTTTATTTTTCAATTACAGTTGACAAGCAATACTGTATTACTTTCAGGTGTACAACATAGTGATTAGACATTTATATAACTTACAAAGAGATCACCCCAATAAGTCTAGAACCCATCTGACACCATACACAGTTATTACAATATTATTGACTACATTCTCTATGCTGTGCTTTACATCCCCGTGACTTAAAACAATTTTTTTAATTTATTGATTTAGAGAGAAAGAGGAAGGGAAAGAGTAAGAGAGAAATATTGATTTGTTATTTATCATTCCTTGGTTGTTCCCCATATGTACCTGACCAGGAATCGAACCAGCAACCTGTGTGTCAGGACGATGCTCTAACCAAATGAGCTACCTGGCCAGGGCCCTGTGACTATTTTTATATAAGAAGGAGAAATTAAGAAAACAATCCCATTGATAATTACATCAAAATAATAAAATACCTAGGAATAAATTTAACCAAGGAGATAAAGGACCTGTAGTCTGAAAATGATAAGACATTGAAGAAATGAATTGAAGAAGACATAGCCCTGGCCAGTTTGGCTCAGCAGTTAGAATGTCAGCCTGAAGACTGACAGGTTGCAGGATCGATCCCTGGCCCTGGTAGGGGTCATGCAGGAGACAACCAATTGATGTGTCTCTCTCACATTGATGTTTCTCTCTCTCTCTGTCTCCCTCCCTCCCTTCCACTCTTTCTAAAATCAATGAAAAATATCCTCAGGTGAGGATTAAAATAAATTAAATAAATAAGTATATAAAATTGAAGAGGGCACAAATAAATGGAAGGATACACTGTGCTTGTGAATGGAAGGATTAATATTGTTAAATTGTCCATATCACCCAAAGCAATCTACAGAATCAATGCAATTGCTATCAAAATACCAATGGCATTCTTCTTCTAACTAGAACAAATAATCCTAAAATTTATGTGGTACCACAACAGACCATAAATAGCCAAGGCAATTTTGACAAAAGTACAAAGTTGAAGTATCATGCTTCAAACTATACTACAAAGCTATAATAAAACAGTATGGTATCAGCACAAAAACAGACACAAATATCAATGGAACAGAATAGAGAGTCCAGAAATAAATCCTCCTTATATGTTCAACAAATCTACAACTAAGGAGGTAAGAATATACAATGGAGTAACGACATTCTCTTTAACAAGTGATGGTGGAGAAACTGGACAGATACCTTTAAAAAAATGAAACTGGACCACTTTTTTATATGATATATAAACTCAAAATGGGTTAAAGACTTAAATGTAAGGTCTGAAACCATAAAACTCCTAGAAGAAAACATAGGTAGTATATATTTTACATCAATCTGAGTAATATTTTTTTGGATATGTCCTCTCAAGCAAGGAAAATAAAAGCAAAAATAAACATGAGATGCCATCAAACTAAAAAACTTCTGCCCTGCAAAGGAAACCATCAACAAAACAAAAAGATACCTACGGAATGGGAGAAGGTATTCGCCAATGATATGTCTGATAAGGGTTTGATATCCAAAATATATAAGAAACTCACAACCCAATAACAAAAATAATCCAATCAATAAATGGGTGGAGGGCATACAGATGGCCAGCAAACATATGAAAAGATGCTCAAGCCCTGGCCTGTTTGGCTCAGAGGTTAGAGTGTCGACCTGTGGTCCAGAGAGACCCGGGTTCAGTTCCCGCTAAGGGCATGTACCTTAGTTGCAGTTTGTACCGCCCTGGTTGGGTCATGTGGGTGACAACCACTCAATGTGTCCCTTTCACGTCGATGTTTCTCTCTCTCTCTCTCTCTTCCTCTCTCCCTCCCACTCTAGCTGAATAAAAAACAAAAAAATGTCCTCGGGTGGGGATAAAAAAAAGATGCACGAGATTACTAATGATCAGGGAAATGCAAATCAGAACCACAATAAGATAATCACCTCACCCCAATAAGAATGGCCATTATACAAAAGTCAACAAGCAACAATAGTTGTTGAGGATGTGGAGAAAAGGGAACCCTTGTGCAAATGTAGATTGGTACAGCTGCTGTGGAAACTATAGAGATTCCTCAAAAAACTAAAAATAGATCTACCATTTGACTCAGCAATTCCACTTCGGGCAGTTATCCAAAGAAAACAAAAACACTATTTCAAAAGAAGATACGCACACCTATATTCACTGCAGCATTATTTACAATAGCCAAGATATGTAAGCAATCTAAGTGTCCATTCATAGATGAATGGATAAAGATGTGATACACACACACACATCTATACATACATACATACATACAATGGAATATTAGGCAGCCATAAAAAAGAATGAAATCTTGCCATTAGTGACAACATGGATGGACCTAGAGGTGAAATAAGTGAAATAAGTCAGATAGAGAAAGACAAATACCATATGGTTTCATCTGTATGTGGAATCTATAAAAACATGTAACATACTCATAGAAACAGACACCAAAAGGATTCTTCCCAGAAAGGCAAGGAAGGTAGTGAGGGGATGGGTGAAAAAAGTTGAGAGGAATATAGTAAATAATATTGTGGTAAGTTTGCACAATGACAGATGATTACTAAAATTAGTTGCGTGATCACACTGTAAGGTATAAAAATGTCAAATCACTATATTGTTCACCTGAAACTAATATGTACCAACTATACTTAAATTAAAAATTTAATTAAAAATTAATTTCAAAAAAAGAATGAATGCCTGAATTTAATCAGGTGAAAACTGCTAAAACTGAAAGAAGCATTCTAGTAAAAACAAAAACAGCCCCTGGCCAGTTTGACTCAGTGATTAGAGCATCAGCCCTCAGACCAAAGAGTTGCAGTTCGATTCCGGTCAAGGGCATGTACTTTGGTTGCGGTTCGTCCCCGGCCCTGGTCAGGGTTGTACGGGAGGCAACCAGTTGGTGTGTCTCTTTCAAATCGGTGCTTCTCTCTCTCTCTCCCCCTCCCTCCCACTCTATCTTAAAATAAATGGAAAATATCCTCAGGTGAGGATTTAAAAAAAACAAAAACAGTAGAACAGACTATATTCTATTAAAGTGTCCACATCCAAACATTTTTAAAAAGCTGTATAAATGAACCCTGGCTGGTTTGGCTCAGTGGCTGGAGCATCAGCTTGCGGACCAGAGAGTCCCAGGTTCGGTTCCCGCTAGGGGCACGTAACAACAACAACAAAAGGCTGTATAAATGTTTCAGATTAAATAGGCTAAAGAGACATGGCAAACAAATACAATATATATATAACCCTACACTTGTTGTACCAGAGGGGAAAAGTGCTATAAAGGACATTACTAGGTCAACTCACAAAATCGGAATATAAGTACATGGCAGATTATAGAAAAGTATTATGTTAATAGTACATTTCTTGAGTAATTAGGTATATGGGTGTTCTTTGTGGTATTTTCATTTATGCAACATTTCTGGATGTCTGAAATTTTTCCAATTAAAAAAGTTTTTAAAACTCAGTATCAGTGTCTAAGATTAATAATGTATCTAAAATTTGCAAGATAGAGTGTGTCTATTTTCTGTGTATACCCTACATGGTAATTACAACTTGGACCAGCTCTGCAGAAAACAATAGGTAAGTATGCAGTGTGTTAGCAATCATTATGTACCAGGCCCTATGCAAGTGAGTGCCTAAGTGCATTATTTGTCAACAGGCATCTTGTAATCAAAGAGCATCTTCTTTTTTTTTTTTTTAAATCCTCACCCGAGGGCATTTTTCCATTTTTTTGTTCAGATAGAGTGGGAGGGAGAGAGAGGAAGAGAGAGAGAGAGAGAGAGAGAGAGAGAGAGAGAGAGAGAGAGAGAGAGAAAGAGAGAGAGAGAGAAATATCTATGTGAAAGGGACACATCGAGTGGCTGCCACCCATACGACCAAACCAGGGCCGGGGACAAACTGCAACCAGGGTATGTGCCCTTAGCAGAAACCGAACCCAGGTCTCTCGGGACCGCAGGCCGATCCTCTAACCGCTGAGCAAAACGGGCCAGGGCAAAGAGCATCTTTTATCCCTAGTATTATCCATTGTAAGCAAACCTTAACAAAAAATACAAGACTAAAGTACAAGCTCACAAATTTCTATTCAATTCTTTCTTCGGTGAGGGATAGCCAGGTATAGCTGTCATTTAAATTCATTATTTATAAAATATTTTTTCTGGATAATATGAGGTGAAGATGATAAAGTGATCCTTTTCTAAATTTATCTGCATTTGAGTGATTGTTAATATGATGGCAAAGAATATAAAGAAATAACTTACATTTTGTTAATTTCTTTGGACTCTGTGAAGGCACTGGCTGGTTATCGGTCTGTGAAAGAGGAAGTTCTCCTCTCCCTATGGAGACCCAGCCTGGGGGGAGGGAAGTAATGAATTATCCATTGTTAACCAAATAGGAAGTAGCTTCAGAAAAACAAGAAAAAGTAAAAATATCTAATAAGTCCTCCAATCTTCTTACCAGGGTAAGATTCTATAGCATAAGAGATGTAAAACACTTAGAATTTATCTGCCATTATGTATTTTATTCAAATAATCTAAATTTAGTCCCAGCTAGAGTTAGATTAGACTTCCTTACATTTTTCAAAGTGCTTTTGAAATACAGTCATGCACTACATAATGACAAGTTGGTCAGTGACAGACCATATATACAACAGTGGCCTCATAACATAATGCACTAAAAATTTCATATTTCCTAGGATGTCGTAGCTGTCTTGACGCAACACCACACCGCGTAAGGCACTCCTCAGTGTTTGTGGTGGTGCTGCTATAAACAAACCTGCACTGACAGTCGTGTAAATGTACAGCACACACAATTGGCTACACTGTCTAGGTTTGTGTGAGTGCACAATGGCGAAATCACCTAATGACACATTTCTCAGGACATTTCTCCGTCTTTAAGGGGTGCATGACTGTAAATACACAAAAGTTGTGTTTTAAACCATTACAAATGGATACAGTATAGAAAGAGAATTCCCAAGTAGTCAGGAAGAGAGGAAACAGATCTGGCAATTAGATACTTGAAACCAGTAATTATGTTTATAACCTTAGACTCAATAATCCCAATCCTAGAAATACAAGAAAATAATTTGAGGGAAAAAGTGCATGCATGATTATGTTTACTGCAACATTATCTATAAAATGAAAAAAGTAGAAACAATAAGGAATTAAGTAGATTATGGTAGGTAAATGTAACAAAATACTATGTAGCCCTGGCCGGTTTGGCTCAGCAGTTAGAGCGTCCGCCTGCGGTCCGGAGAGACCCGGGTTCGGTTCCCGCTAAGGGCACGTACCTCGGTTGCAGTTTATCCCCGGCCCTGGTTGGTCGTGCGGGTGGCAGCCACTCGATGTGTCCCTTTCACATTGATGTTTCCCTCTCTCTCTCTTCCTCTCTCTCCCTCCCACTCTGTCTGTACAAAAAATGGAAAAATGTCCTCGGATGAGGATAAAAAAAAAAAAAAAAACTATGTAGTAATAAAAAGGTAATTATGAATATTGGTAATAAGGAAATGTTTGCTGTAACATGAAATTACTTATGCTATAATTAAAACACAGCACTCGAAAGGAAGTTAGATTATCTTGCCTACTACCTTCCTTGTATAGAAGAGATCATTTGAGGCCCGAGATCTTATTTGGGGTGCCTAAAACATAGATCTTTAAACTCTCAGGGCAGCTCAGTTTCCTGGTCTACATCACAGGGGCAAAAGAGGTAAATGTAAAGGAAAGGCTAGTGGAGTAGAAAGAGTTCTGCACTAGGAGGCAAGAAACCAGATTTTGATCTCCCTTTAACTTGAAATTGCCCGATGACCTTAAATTAAGCAAGACACACACACTGAGTATCAACCGCCTCAGCTATTACATGCAAATACCCTGTTAGCCTGCAGGCAGGGACCGAAAAAAATGTTCTGAGTGGTGAAGAAAGATTACTGAGATTGTATTGCCAGGAAGAGAAGAATCCAGTGCTGCTAGAGATGTGGCAAGGTAAGGAGAAAGAGCAGGAGTTCATAGGGGAGAATGACTCTGTGTGTGAATATTATAACACTCGGACCATTGATATGCCATTTGAGAAGTACTGTTTTCTAAAATTTACTATTACAAAACATCTGAATTATCCTAGAGTGTCTCTTTATCAAATAATACTGTCCATTCTCACTTTTAGGCTATTAAACAAATTCTTACTGAGTGACTATTTAACTGGTATTTTGTTTATTGAGCTAACGTTAGACTGAAAAGATAAATCCCCCACAGATCATGCCCTTGGGGTGCTTGTAGAATGCATAAAATATAGTGGTCCTACAGATAAAGTATAAATGTCAGTGTCTTAATACAAAGTACAAAGTATTAAGACACTGTTAGGTGCTCTGAGGCTTTTTTCAAGGGTTAAAGTCTAGGGGAAAAAGACAGAGATATAAGGCAAGATAAACTATGGTTACAGCCATGAAAACATAAAACATACCACTGTGAGACCAGAGGAAGGAGAAACCACTTCCATTTGGCAGTACTGGGGAAGTCTTCAAGGGCTGGCTGTCACGGAGCAAACACTGGATTGGAAGCCTAATAATGCTCAGGCCCAGGCCCAAGCCCAAGTCCCAATACTGAGACATTCTAAGTCACAAGAGTGACACAAGCAGAGATGCCTCAGAGGGATCTGAATATCCTTACTATAGTTATAGAAAATGGAAAATTGTTATTTTTTAATCCTCACCTGAGGATATTTTTCCATTTTTGTTCAGATAGAGTGGGAGGGAGAGAGAGGGAAACATCAATGTGAGAGAGAGAAATCAACTGGTTGCCTCCCGCACAACCCGACAGGGCTGGGGAGGAATCACAACTGAGGTACGTGCCCTTGACCAGAACTGAACCCAAGACTCATTGGTCCATGGGCTGATGCTCTAACTGCTAAGCCAAACTGTCCAGGGCGAAAATGGAAAGTATTTTGAAGTAGGTAGGATAGATATAAAGGTGGGTGTGCAGGCACAGGCAGGTGTTATCCAGGAGCCTATGGTGCTTCATTTTTAAATAATGTAAGCAAGTGCTCACATCAGAATCTGCTTCTTGGAGAGAGAACTCTGGAGAATACATGGAGGATGAACTATGTAGAGTTAGGGAGATCTGTGAGGAGGACTCTAGCAGAAACCCAAGAAACCAAATTAGGCTCTCCATGGCTCTGGTAGTGGAGGTGGAGAGGAGACGTAAGAAATGTGAGATGTGTGTTAGAAAGAGAATAGACCAACTTAGCAACCAATATGGAAGTGGGGAGCAAAGTGACTCTCAGGGTGCTGGGCTGGACACAGGAAGATGGAACAGCAGGTGAGTAGAGGGAGTCCTTGACATGTAAACAAAGCAGGTGACCCTCTCAGGAAAATACCCTGCCCCCAGCTTTCTATTGCAGTCCCCACACTGGTAGCCTTGCCCAAAAGGCTGCCATAGAACCAGCCTCCAGAGCTGTTTCTTTTTCCCTTGTCAACTCTGAACCCACAGAAAAAAAACACACCAAGTTTTCATAGGTGGAAGAAACAATATCACCTGCGTGCACTAGGTAGGGGACACTTAGCAGGTCAGGAGTTTCAGACAAGACACTGATTTTCTAGTAGAGAAGATACCTGGGAAAGTCACTGAAGAAAGGGTGGGGTTTGGTGGAGGTGGCAGGAAAGCGGCCCTTGTTTCACTTTCACTGATAGACTCCAGTGCTGGGAATATTTGTTATTTTTCCAGTTGACTGATGTGACTGCAGATTTTATCTAGTAGTACCGAAGCTAATTAAAATCAATCTTGTTGATTTTAGCATCCACATGCACAATGTTTTGTTTCACAAAGACAAAATAAATCATGGGTTTCCAAATATTTGATACACACTTACTGTTGAAAGCCCCAGCAGCATGAAGGCCAAGGTCAAAGAGATGTGAAGGAAGGAATCGTTTGGAATGAGCAAGAGGCTCAGACCCCACAGAAGGCTCCTGGGACATGAGGCTCCCAAAGGCAGTCTGGCATTCTTGAGTAAATTCACTAGTATTTGAAGAACCAGGACTTAGGAGGTTAGTCAGAAATGAGAATTCCTTCTCAAAATCATCTTCCAATGTATCTACAGGTAAATCTTTTGCAACTGTTGAGTAGAAATAAAAACAGAATGGCTTTTTTCTTTATGAAGAAATTAGTATGAATGGCAAATCAAATTTGTTTCACTGATCTCATATTTTATTAACATTATTTATTTATTTATTTTTTTTATCCTCACCTGAGGATATTTTTCCATTTTTTTGTACAGATAGAGTGGGAGGGAGAGAGAGGAAGGGAGAGAGAGAGAGAAACATCGATGTGAAGGGACACATCGAGTGGCTGCCACCCGCACGATCAACCAGGGCCGGGGACAAACTGCAACCGAAGTACGTGCCCTTAGCGGGAACCGAACCCGGGTCTCTCCGGACCGCAGGCCGACGCTCTAACCACTGAGCCAAACTGGCCAGGGCACATTATTTATTTTTTAATCCTCACCCGAGGACATTTTTGCATCTATCCCCAGACAGAGCAGGAGAGAGAAAGGGAGGAAGAGAGAAACAGTGAGGAAAAAGAGACACATCGAGTGGCTGCCACCCACATAACCCCAACCGGGGCCGGGGACAAACTGCAACCAAAGCACGTGCCCCTAGTGGGAATTGAACCCGGGCCTCTCTGGTCTGCGGGCCGATGCTCTAACCACTGAGCCAAACCAGCCAGGGCTGAAAATTATTTCTAATTAGATAGGCTATGAATAAAAATGACCACATTTCACAATGAAGATCTAACAGTTAAGAATATCTACAGATAAAATAATTAAGCAACTACCTATGTAAGACAGGCTACAGGAGATGCAAGTAGAAATAAAAATTAATAATAGGAGGAAAAAAAAAAGTAAAAAAAAAAAAACAAAAAAAAAAACAGTCCAAGAGGAGAAAAGTAAAGATATAAAAGATCTAAACAGCAAAATCAATAAGGTAGTTGGTTTGACTATATACAAACCCTAATTGAAAATAGCTTGGCTGGTGTGGCTCAGTGGATTGCACAATGTCCCATGGACTGAGAGGTCCCGGTTCAATTCCTGGTCAGGGCACATACCCTGGTTGTGGGCTCGATCTCCAGCAGGGGGTGAGCAGGGGGCAGCTGATCAATGTTTCTCTCTCACATAGATGTTTCTATCTCTCTCTCCCTTCCTCTCTCTAAAAAAAATCAATAACCATATTTAAAAAAAAATAGATACTTCTTAAACAGAAATTTCACAAAAATTAATTATACTAAGGTACAAAAAAATCAGTGAATTTCTTTTTTTTAAATTTTTTTTCTTTATTGATTTTCAGAGAGAGAGGAAGAGGGAGAGAAGATAGAAACATTAATGAGAGAGAATATCGATTGGCCACCTCCTGCATGCCCCCCACTGGGGATCAGACCCACAATCTGGGTATATGCCTTGACCAGGAATCGAACCGGCGACCTCTTGGTGCATGGGTTGATGCTCAATCACTGAGCCACACCTGCCGTGCTCAGTGAATTTCTTAAAAATAGAAATATTACAAGCAACATGCTCTGATGACAATGCAATAAAATGAAGTCATTTAAAAAATGAAACAAAAAAAACTAAAAGGCTCTTCCACCTGTAAATTTTAACACATTCTATTAATTCTTGGTTGAGCGAGGAATGGCATTTCTGAAAAATAATGATAAATAAATTTCATATTACAGGGTGGGGCAAAAGTAGGTTTATAGTTATTCAAATGGAAAATAATACAATAACAAATAATAACAAGAATAAAGTTTCACATACTCACAACTGTAAACCTACTTTTGCCACACCCTGGATAATCCATAGGCTAAATAGCAATTAACAAAGGAAAAATCATGACCCTGAATGCCTTTATTAAATAGAAGTGAAAGAGAAGGGCTTCCAGCATGACAGAGTGAGGAGGTCTAAGGACCTGCACACTAGTTGTTAAATAACTGGTGGAAATTATTTTTAAAATAACCATTTAAATTATCTAGAAATTGTTCCAAGAGCACACATCAAATGAAGAAACATTTATTCAAGAAAATCAATTAAAATTCAGAAAGAATGAGAGACTGGTATTTGAACTAAGAACCACTCCCTTCCTCCTCCCTCCCAATTTGGTAAGATGGAAATTCCACTTTAGCCTAGTGTAGCCAAAAACATAGGGCTTCCTCTCTCCCTGCCTCTCAGTCAAGAGTTTTCTTCCCAGGAGGAGCAGGAGGGTGTCAGCATTTCATATCATTCCCAGTTACCTGTTGCTAAGGCGAAGTCCTGGGAAGTGCAGTCAAGAGGTAGAAGCTCCCATTTTCCCACTGAGACACCAAGACCCCAGATGAAGACTGATTTGGCATGCTGAGAATATGGGGGTCCTTATCACTTGACCCTGCTCATACAGTGGTAGTTTCATACAGGAAGAGGCAAACCAAAAAGACCTAAGACTATGGTCACCCTCCTCACTTACTACTCAGCTCCTAGAGCAAGGATATCATGTCATTGTTGCCACCCCAGAACAGCCATGACTCAGAGATTTTTTCTGGAGAGAGAAGCAGACTACGAAATAGATAATTCTCAATCTATTACCAAAGGCACTGACTTCATTTGCAACAGAGTTTGAAGAAATTCAAACCTAAGGATGCTCTCAAAAATAGTGGAGATGTGGTGAAAGGAAACAGAGAAGGTTGGTAGATTTTCTGGACAATTAATTAGATTTATAGTAGTCAACTAGTTTGCCTAACAAAGAACCGTGAAAAAGCCAGCAGAGACAAGCCTACCTAGGGTAAGAACAAATCTCAAACACTGATCTTGGGAACTATTCTTTCAAGGGATAAAACCTGTAATAGATACAAAAAAAGTTAAGATAAAAGAACCAAAGTATACCACTACAAAAGGTCATCAAATCACAAAGGAAGACAGCAAGAGGAAAATAAAGAAACAAAGGAATTATAAAACAGTCAGAAAACAATAAATAAAATGACATTAGTAAGTCCTTATCTATCAACAATTAAATATAAATGGATTAAATTCTCCAATAAAAAGACACAGAATGACTGGATGGATAAAAAGACAAGATCCCACCTGGTGTGGCTCAAACAATTAAAAGTAGAACTATCATATGATCCAGCAATTCTTCGTTCCCAAAGGAAATGATATCACTATCTCAAAATTGTTATCTCTACCCAATGGTCATTGCATCACTATTTACAATTGCCAAGAAATGGAAACAACCTAAGTGTCTGTCACAGATGAATGGATAAAGAAAAAATAAATACATGCAAATGAGAATATTATTCAGCCATAAAAAAAAGAAGGAAATTCTTCCATATGCAACAACATGGATGAACTTGGAGGGCATTATGGTAAGTGAAATAAGTTACACAGAGAAAGACAAATACTGTGTGATCTCACATAAAAGTGAGATCTAAAAAAGCCAAACTTGCCCTGGCTGGTTGGTTTGGCTAAGCAGTTAGAGCATCAGACCACAGACCAAAGATTCATGGATTCGATTCCAGTCAAGGGCATGTACATTGGGTGCAGTTTGGTCCCTGGCCCTGGTTGGGGGCAACTGATCTATGTGTCTTTCTCACATTGAGTTTTCTCTCTCTCTCTCCCCCACTTTGAAGATAAATGGGGAAAAAAAGTATCCTTGGATGAGGATTTAAAATAAATAAATAAACCAAACTCATACAAACAGAGAGTAGATTGGTAGTTGCTAGGGCCTAGGGGTAGGGGAAATGGGGAGATTAGTCAAAGGGTACAAATAAATTCTGGGAACCTAATGTACAGGATGATAACTATTAGTTAACAATACTGTATCGTATACTTGATAGTGGCTAAGAGAGTAAATCTTAAATGTTCTTACCCCCCAAATAAATATGGTGAGTATGAGAGGTGGTAGATGTGTTACCTAATCATATTGTGATAATCATTTTGCTATATATATATATTTTTTATCACATCGTACACCTTAAATGTACACAGTGTTATATGACAACTACAACTCAAAAAGCTAGAAAAAATAAAGCTAACTCAAAAGTATACACAAGAGACTTATAAAGTGACTTAGGGGAGGAGGATTTAAATGAATAAGGTGAAGAGCCCTGGCTAGTCTGGCTCAGTGGTTAGAGTGTCAGTCCAGTACCAAAGGGTTGTAGGTTCAATTCCCGGTTGAGGGCACATACCTGGGTTGAAGGTTTGATCCCTGGCCCCGGGTGGGGTCATGCAGGAGACAATCAATTGATGTGTCTCTCTCACATCAATATTTCTCTCCCCACCCCCATTCTCTCCCTTCCACTCTATCTAAGAATTATTAGAAAAATATCCTCAGGTGAGGATTAACAACAACAACAACAAAAACAAATACAAAATAGGCATGTAAAGTATAGCATAGGGAATATAGTCAATAATACCATGCTAACTATGTATGTCTAGTCAATAATATCACGCTTTTTTTTTTTTTACCCTCACCCAAGGACATTTTTTTCATTTTTTGTTCAGATAACAGTGGGAGGGAGAGAGAGGAAGAGAGAGAGAGAGAGAGAAACATCGACATGAAAGGGACATATCGAGTGGCTGCCACATGCACGACCCAACCAGGGCTGGGGACAAACTGCAACCGAGGTACGCGCCCTTAGCGGCAACCGAACCCAGGTCTCTCTGGACCACAGACTGACGCTCTAACCGCTGAGCCAAACTGGCCAGGGCTATTACGCTATTTTTAAAAGCTGTGACAAACTGTTTTGACATTTAAAATGTAATCATTTCACATTTTAATTTCATCTTACCTGATTCACTTCCCAAGCTCACTTCCTCATCTGACAAAACTAACCTAAAGTAAAAACCAAAAAATGCAAAGATTTTGGTTAAAATACATTTAGTACTCATATTCCACAATTTTGTGTGTGTGTGTGTGTGTGTGTTTTAATTTTAAACTGGTTACCTGGTAGATCTCTTAAAATCTGTCTGAGACAAATCCTACTTTATAGATCTACACAGACTGGGAACTTAATCCTTTACCCCTTATTCATTCAGTAAACATTTACTGAGTATTGACGAAGCACCAGGCCACTGTGTTCAGCATTGTAGGCACTATGCTAGCACTATATTATAGAGAATATCTGTCACCAAAGCCATTGAGTATAAAGCTTAGCATTCAAGCACTGAAAGGTTTTACTCAATAACATTTGGGCCCTGTCCAGTTTGGCTCAGCGGTTAGAGCGTCGGCCTGCGGTCCAGAGAGACCCAGGTTCGGTTCCCGCTAAGGGCATGTACTTCGGTTGCAGTTTGTCCCCGGCCCTGGTTGGTCGTGCGGGTGGCAGCCACTCGATGTGTCCCTTTCACATCGATGTTTCTTTTTTTTTTCTTTTTTTTTTTTTTATCCTCACCCGAGGACATTTTTCCATTTTTTGTACAGACAGAGTGGGAGGGAGAGAGAAGAAGAGAGAGAGAGGGAAACATCGATGTGAAAGGGACACATCGAGTGGCTGCCACCCGCACGACCAACCAGGGCCAGGGACAAACTGCAACCGAGGTACGTGCCCTTAGCGGGAACCGAACCCGGGTCTCTCAGGACCGCAGGTCGACGCTCTAACCGCTGAGCCAAACTGGCCAGGGCTCACATCGATGTTTCTCTCTCTCTCTCCCTTCCTCTCTCTCCCTCCCACTCTATCTGTACAAAAAATGGAAAAATATCCTCGGGTGAGGATAAAAAACAAACAAACAAACAAAAACAACATTTGGTAACTAAATAGAGGGAATGAAGAACTGCAGAAAAAATAGAGTACTCTAATTTGAACAACAAAGTGATGTTCGCAAAAGAAGACACATTTGCCTAAAATATTCTCAATAAATACTAATTTTGGATATTTATATCATCCACCTGATGTAAAAGTTAAAAAATGAGACAAAGATGCCCTTGGTTGGGTAGCTCAGCTGGTTAGAGTGTCGTCCTGATACACCAAGGTTGCGGGTCTCTGGTCAGGGCACATACAGGAATCAGTCAACGAATGCATAAGTAAGTGGAAAAACAAACAGATTCTCTCTCTCTCTCCCACCCCCCCCCCTTGTCCTCTCTTTCTCTAAAAATCATTTAAAAACAGAAGAAAAAAATGAGACCTAAAAATTGAACACAGATTTAGTCATTATTCCTGGAATACAGCCTCAAAATTCTAGTATGGAAGGTTGCTTTTTTTTTTTTTATCCTACCTGAGGACACTTTTTGTTGCATTTATCTTCAGATAGAGCGGAGGGAGAGAGGGAAGAAGAGAGAGAGAGAAACATCAACATGAGAGACACATCAAGTGGTTGCCACTCACATGACCCCAACAGGGGCCGGGGACAAACTGCAACTGAAGTATGTGCCCTTAGCAGGAACCGAACCTGGGCCTCTCTGGACTGTGGGCCGACGCTCTAACCACTGAGCCAAACCGGCCACGGCTGGAAGGTTGTTTTTAACGTTTTTAAGTTTATTTAAAAACCAATTCAGTACTTATTTGCAAATACCATGAAAATAAACCTACAGAGAACGTATATACTTAGCACTTAGAATGAAATTTCCAGTGTACATGCACGGTTTTTTAAATAACTTGGATGGAAGAGAAGGAAAAGTGCTTTGGAATCTGTTAACTCAAAAGGTAGCTCTCATAATACTGAAGATATATGAGAAGATTTTTAATAAAAATGTCATGAAATGTGATCATGGAAAAAATTTACTAAACATATTTAAAGTAACATATGGTTTTAATTGTCAATGTAGAACTAAGTTAAGTTGAATTATTATACATTTGATTATTTAATCTACATTCTAAAACATTTATAAATGAAAGTTAGCCTAAATATTTGTTTGAATTTCCCCACAGAGAAAAGAGGGAAATGCTTAAATTTCAGATCTCCTTCCACTCAACAGCATATGGTTTATAACTGTGTGGGCCTTATTTCTGGGTTCGTTATTATACTCACTGCAATCTGGTTAAAACGAGAAATGGCAGCTTGAAAGCAAAACAAAGATAAGAGGGAAATAGGCAACATTAAGGATATGTACAGCAAGAGTCTCCATTTTCAGGTAACCAAGCCCAGGCCCATCTGTGTTGTTTGAGGATTTATTTTCAATAGCTTCTGTCCTCAAAGCTGCTGGTACCTGTCCCTTTTCTTTTTCAAGCTGCCTCATCTGGGAGTCACTAAGTAGAGACTCTTTTATTTATTTATTTTTCTGTTTCAATATTTTTTTTTCCCTTCATTGATTTTAGAGAGAGAGAAAGTGAGAGGGAGAGAGAGATAGAAACACTGATGAGAGAGAACATCGAGTAGCTGCCTCCTGCATGCCCCACACTGGGGATTGGGCCCACAACCTGGGCATGTGTCCTGACCGGGAATAGAACTGGTGACCTCTTGGTGCATGGGTCAACACTCAACCACTGAGCCAAGCCACACCAGCCAGACTAGAGACTCTTTTTTTTAAATCCTTACCCAAGGATATTTTTCTGTTTATCTTCAGATAAAGTGGGAGGGAGAATGAGAGGGAGGGAGAGAGAAACATTGACTTGAGAGAGACACATCAACTGGTTGCCTCCCACACGACCCTGACCAAGGCCAGGGATGAACTGCAACTGAGGTATGTGCCCTTGACCAGAATGGAACCCGTGACTCATTGGTCCTTGGATTGACGCTCTAACCACTCAGCCAAACCAGCCAGGGCATAGATAGAGACTCTTAATACAAGGCTCAGCCTCCTCCTAAACTATAGAATTGGGAGTTATCACCCCAATCTGTTCTGTACTCCCATCTTTGATTTGGCCTGCCGTGTTAAAAATAAGAGGAAAATGTGATACTTGTGTTTCTCTGACTGGTTTATTTCACTTAGCATAATACTCTCCAGATCCCTCCATGTTATCTCAAAGGATAAGAGATCTTTTTTTCTTACGGCTGCATAGTACTCCACTGTGTATATGCACCACAGCTTTTTTATCCATTCATCTACTGATGGACACTTGGGCTGTTTCCAGATCTTAGCAATTGTAAATAGTGCTGCTATGAATATAGGGGCACACATATCCTTTTTGATTGGTGTAATGTGGGGGGCAGGGAGTGGGATTGGGAGGAGGGTGTCAATAGGGGAAAAAAGGAGAAACATCTGTAACAAAAATAAATAAACAAACAAATGAAATATATGTTCCCATAAAAAAAAATAGGAGGAAAAAAATAAAGCTTCAAAACAAATTTTTTATGTCAGTTGGAAATATGACATAGAAATAAGTATTCAGTAAGCCAGAGAAGAAACAACTCTTTCCAAATATATGATGGTATCCAGGACTTCCATAATATATAACTCTTGCTTACTTACTTATTGAGGTTTTCAGTGAGTGAATTGTTTTCTATTTGTTCTTTGTGGTCTTCGGTAAGCTTGCTTGAAGTGTCTTGTAGTTGCTAAGGATAAGAAATTCAATGTTAAGTGGATGAAAAGAATCTGCTCCTCTCTTTGTGCAAACAAAATGGGAATAAAAATTAGAAAGAACAATATAAAATAGAAATAGTTCTGAAGTTTATACTGAGAAGGATGGGAAATGCATGCTAATATAATTTGAACCAGCCCGTGTCCTTGGAAACCACAAACACTGTAATATGGACTAGCCACAGGGTTTACAACTTTGTGATATGCCAAAGAACATTTATACTCTGTTGCTAGCTTGAACTGCAATGCTTTAAAAACAGCTCAAGATTTTCAACTTCAATTCAGAGCAAAAATTGGATATTAAATTGGCTAAATACATAGTATGCTATCCAGTGAAGTATTAATATAAAAAAGAAAACGAACACACAACAAAAAACAAAAACATAAATTCAAAAATATCTATTAGACTACAATATGTTATATCATAATATGACTTAAAAATCCATACCAATCCCCAGGATTATACTGTTGCAAGATATGAATCTATCATTGATACCATGTCTAGCTTGAACAAGTCTATCAACAACACTTTCAAACTCTAGTGAAAATAAGGCAGAATGATAAGTTCGAGGGTACTGAAATCTAGCCTACCAGAACAATTACCACAGTATGACTCTGCTGATTAAGCCATATGCAAAGAGTGTGGATAGGAAAATATGCAGATGTTAAAAGCATTATAGGCCGAGAGTACCTTTATATGTAGGTGCTATAGAAAGAGCTGATCTAATGCAGTATTCTCTTCAGCTGCAATCACACATATAGAATGACCAAACTGGCATAATTTTTGTATTGTGAATCACATCTAAGACATGAGTGTGAAAGTAAAGCAAGGACATTTTTTTAACTTATAAAATTGTCAGGTAGATAATCTGGTAATTTTTTGAAACATATGACCACTTTCCATCACTTGTTCCTCTTAAGTTTTTCCTTTCCATAACCTTTTATCTCTTTTGCATTTTAATTTTCTTTTCACATTCTCCCTCTTTTATTACCCCCTACTATAATCTTGAGCTCGCCAACAATATTCCCATATATTTTTTTTTTTTTTTAGTGTTGCTGATAGCATTTGGAGTCAGGGAAGTGCAGAAAAATGACTGGCTTAAGGAATGTAAATTCTTGGTTGAAGGAGTGTAAAAAATGTTTCCCAGTGTTTTGTAAATTTGAAATTAGGCTTACCAAACAATAGTTTCAGTGTTATTACCCAAATGAAGTGTAATATATCTAACAAAAGAACATGGAAAGAAATGTACCTTGAGAGCCACAAAGTCATATGGATGTAAGCCAATATAGGCTCCGTGGATTTGGGACATCATTTGAGCTGTTTTCTCCCAGAATCCAAGCAGTGTTCTCTGCAGGAAAAAAAAAAAAAAGGGGTGACATTACAATTCTGCTTCCTCTCCATGGTTTTTTTAGTGCTGTTTTTCTTCACTAGTGTAGTAGATGAATAGTTGCTAAATCATAATCAGGGACTAAAATCAATTTCCAGGTTTGGGGAACCAGAAGGCACTGTAAATACTAATTCTGCATAAGAAATGGCTCTATATCTGCATGTATGTGTGCTATATATATATATAGGATTGGAATGTACACTGGAGCCAGCTAGACAGTAAGTGCAGCCAAGGAAATGAAACTGGTGGATTAGAACACCACCTTAGGAATCCAAAAAAGAAATACTGAAAGTACAAAATACCATATTTGTATTAGGGATATGTGTAAGTCTTTATGTTGGTAAGTATATATAGTCTTTTATTAATTGGAGAAAGATAATATGTACCACTAAATTTGGTGTTTCATTTAGGGTTCAAGAAAGACTTGCCCAAAAAATGTGTCCTCAAGCCAACACAAGGAATAGAACAGTTTGTTTCCTGCTTTAAGGTTCCTGTTCCAAGTGAGGGGGATGAATGGAGAGAATAAAGACCTGAACTTACAACTATTGTGTTTTGGGCATTATGTTATACAGATTGTCATATACTTTTATTTTCAAGTGCATCCTTTCTTTATTTTTGAATTCCACAGTACTGAAATGAATTAGGTAGATTTCCTAGAAGCAGCAGCGAATGTCCATTTCCTTTAGTTTATTATTCTTATGTAAATGCAGTTTACTATCCTATTTTGCCATGTATATATACATATTAAAATCAGTAACTACTATTTATTAATATCTATCTTACTCATTGTATACTATTTATGTGTGATTTGGGATAGTAATATAAGCACAAGTAAAACTTTTGAGGTTAAAGTGATAGATAATAACCTTGGCAGAATAAAAAGAACACATAATCTAGAATTAGAAAATGTAGGTTTTTGCCCGGCTGGTGTGGCTCAGTGTATTGAGCATGGTCCCATGGACTGAGAGGTCCTCGTTTGATTCCCAGTCAGGGCACATGCCTGGGTTGTGGGCTCGATCCCCAATAGGGAGTGTGCAGGAAGCAGCCGATCAATGTTGCTCTCTCACATCGATGTTTCTCTCTCTCTCTCTCAAAAATCAATAAAAACATTAAAAAAGAAAAAGAAAATGTAGGTTTTTAAGTCCAACATTGCCATTTACTTTAATTCTCATAGATTTCACATTCCTCATAAATAAAATGACAGAAACATTTTTAAAAATTTTGGGACACAGCATCTTTGCTTCCAATGAAATTATATTTAGAAGTTCAAAGTGCAGTAGCTGAAATCCTGCCTCCTGAGCATTCCACTCCTCAGCCTTAGTCCATCTCTAGGTCTCTCCTTCTCTCCTAGGACACGAAAGAGAATAATGTGAAGCTTCTGGAGGAGGCGATCCCTAAGAATTTTTCAGTCTGGAATTCTATGATTTTCTGACTGTCATAACCTCAATAAGTCAATTTTAGCATATCAAAGTAATCTGATCAATTATACATTTTTTTACATCCTTTAGACAACTTTTAAAAAGGAATCTCACCACTCATCTTTACTGCAAGGACATGCTGACCATGGAGGTGGGTACCTGGTAGGTAGTGAGTGAATGAGATAACATATTGCAGCGACTAGCTCCAAGTAAATCCACTTTCTGACAAACATCCATCTTTAACTTGTCAAAAGAAGCTTTGCTATTTTTCACTTGGATCTGTACCTGCAACCACAAAAATGTTAACAATTATCACTGATAATATAGATTATAAACATACCATAAAGTTTCACGATACATATTTTCAGACACATGAAATTATAATAAAGAAGACTAATTCCTTTTCCCTGTATTATTATTTTGTGATTAATGGTAAAGATTTTGGCTGTCTTTAGTGATAATATGAGATTCTTTCCAAGTATCTTTATGCTGAGAAAGTATGCAATGATAGATGGAAAGTATATAATTAAGAAGAAAAAACAGGTCCCAAATAAAAAGTAACTCCCCAAACTACAGATGGATAATATTTAGGTAAAAGAAGAATAAATGAAAAGGGGACATGGTTAAAGTGTTGAGAAGCATTAATAATAGTTTTAAGTCATGGAGATATGTTTATAAATTTAAATATATTCCTATTAATGAGGCAAACCACTTATAACAGCTAGTATAGAATACAGGCTTCATCAATAGTAAATATGATGTTTATTATAGATGCTCTAAATATTTATAGAAGGAAGGAATGAATGAATTTTATTATTCATATATGGTAAATTTAGGCAATACAATTTTAATAAAGAGTTTATTCAGAAAAAAAGTATGTTGGTAAATAGATAGTTGCTTTAAAAGTTTGTGGTCAAGCCCTGGCCAGTTTGGCTCAGCGGTTAGAGCGTCGGCCTGCGGTCCGGAGAGACCCGGGTTCGGTTCCCGCTAAGGGCATGTACTTCGGTTGCAGTTTGTCCCCGGCCCTGGTTGGTCGTGCGGGTGGCAGCCACTCGATGTGTCCCTTCACATCGATGTTTCTCTCTCTCTCTCCCTTCCTCTCTCTCCCTCCCACTCTATCTGTACAAAAAATGGAAAAATATACTCGGGTGAGGATAAAAAAAAAAAAAAGCTAGTGGTCAAACTATGTATTGTGGCAAAATGAACAATTTGATCACCTTTACTTCACTTATAAAAAAAAAAAAAAAAAAAGTTTGTGGTCATGTCTTGGCCGGTTTGGCTCAGCAGTTAGAGCGTCAGCCTGCGGTCCAGAGAGACCCGGGTTTGGTTCCCGCTAAGGGCACGTACCTCAGTTGCAGTTTGTTCCTGGCCCTGGTTGGTTTGTGCAGGTGGCAGCCACTTGATGTGTCCTTTTCACGTCAATGTTTCTCTCTCTCTCTCTCCCTCCCACTCTATCTGAACAAAATATCAGAAAAAAAAATGTCCTCGGGTGAGGATAAAAAAAAAAAAAAAGTTAGTGGTCAAACTATGTATTGTGGCAAAATGAACAATTTGATCACCTTTACTTCACTTATAATTAATAATCATTTTACTGCCCTGGTCATTTTGGCTCAGTGGTAGAGCATCGGCCCACAGATCAAAGAGTTGCGAGTTCGATTCCAGTCAAGGACATATACCTCAGTTGCTATTTGGTCCCTGGCCCTGGTCAGGGTTGTGCGGGAGGCAAGCAGTCAATGTATCTCTCTCATATCAATGTTTCTCTCTCTCTCCTACTCTATCTGAAGATAAATAGAAAAAAGTATCCTCAAGGGAGGATTTAAAATAATAATTATTATTATTATTTTACCACCCTGGCCAGTTTGGCTCAGCAGTTAGAGCATCGACCTGCAGATCAAGGGGTAGTGGGTTTGATTCCTGGTCAAGGGCACGTACCTGGGTTGTAGGTTTGATCCCCGGTCCTAGTCAGGGTTATGAGGGAGGCAACCAATTGATGTGTCTTTCTCACATCAATGTTTCTGTCTGTCTGTCTCTCTCTGTTTCTCTTTCTCTAAAAATCAATGGAAAGCCCTGGCCAGTTTGGCTTAGCAGTTGGAGCGTCAGCCTGCAGACCAGAGAGAGTCCCAATTTCTGTTCCTGCTAGACACACATACCTCGGTTGCAGTTTGTCCCCTGCCCCAGTTGGGCTTGTGTGGGTGGCAGCCAGTTGATGTGTCTCTCTTGCATTGATGTTTCTCTCTCTCTCTCTCTCTCTTCCCCACTCTCTCCCTCCCACTCTATCTGAAGATAAATGCAAAAATGTCCTCAGGTGAGAATTAAAAAGAAAAATTGCCCTGGCTGGTTTGGCTCAGCGGTTAGAGAGTCGGCATGCAGTCCAGAGAGACCTGGGTTCGGTTCCCGCTAAGGGCACATACCTCGGTTGCAGTTTGTCCCCAGCCCTGGTGGGTCGTGCAGGAGGCAACCACTCAATGTGTCCCTTTCACGTCGATGTTTCTCTTTCTCTCTCCCTCCCTCCCTCCCACTCTATCTGAACAAAAAATGGAAAAATGTCCTCAGGTGAGGGTAAAAAAAAAAAAAAATCAATGGAATAATATCCTTGGGTGAGAATTAACTACCCCCCCCCCAAATAATAATCATTTTACCTGAATTTTTACTTATATATGTTTCCTCATTAATAAACTATTTCCCTCCTGCAAATAAGCCCAAAAGTCCAGGTAAGCAACACTTAAAGGGTAATTAGATCTATTATGAGGGGAATAAAGAAACTAATAGATAAGATTAATGGGTTGAGGATACCACTCAAAGAGTAAAACAAAAAGTGTGATAACCTTTTGTACTTCAAACCAAAGATCTCTAAGCAACCAAGAATTTATATCATTTTGTCAAAAATAGTCAGATCTTGATTAAGTTATTCTGTAGAAGTTCAAATTTATGCATCAAGAAAAGGAGAGGGATGTATTCTCATACTTTTCTGAACTTTTCCATTTGTTTTAAGGTGTCTGGGTCAAGTTCTTGGGATACATCTTTCATCCACAGCAGAGCTGCTCTGTATTCTGTGCGTGCCTGCTCCATTCGATTAATTGTCATCAAGGTATCAGATACTGCCCTTTGACTGAATGTTGTTACTTCTTGCTTAAGACGAGACAGGGGAGTATACAAGGCCAATCTAATGACAGAGAGATAAAAATCAGAGAACTGTACATCCCATAAACAAAACAAAGCAAAAACAAAGGTTTAGAAACACCATAAATCATGTTTGCTGTCAAGGTGAGTCTATAAATAGGAAATTAATAAGATGCCTAAAAGGGGGGGGTGCCTGGGAGCAAGGAGGAGGGTGTCAATGGGGGAAAAAGGAGAAACATCTGTAACAAAAATTAATTAATTAATTTTAAAAAAGATGCCTAAAGAAATTTAGGAAGCAAATAAGGATCATATAGCCAACTTTGAATTGTTAGTAAAGATAAAAGAGATCCTGTATTTATAAAGCATTATCTTCTAAATAGAAAGCCTTCTATTTGACAAATTAAGGTAAACCTGGGTGTAGAAAAGCTGATAAAATACTAGAAGAACTAATCAGGATCCAGTTCTTAGCACTGATGTGCTGTTTCAGAATAAAAGCACTTAAGTTATCTATGGTCATTACAGATCTGATAAGACCTGTTTTGTTTTTGTTTTTAATCCTCACCCGAGGACATTTTTGCATTTATCTTCAGACAGAGTGGGAAGGAGAGAGGGGGAAGAGAGAGAAACATTGATGTGAGAGAGACACATCAAGTGATTGCCACCCACACAACCCCAACCAAGGCCGGGGACAAACTGCAACCAAGGTACGTGCCCTTAGCGGAAACCGAACCCAGGACTCTCTGGTCCATGGGCCGACGCTCTAACTGCTGAGCCAAACCAGCCAGGGCAAAAATCTTTGCATTTTCAAAAGAAAATAAAAACAGGTCTTGCCCTGGCCGGTTTGGCTCAGCAGTTAGAGCGTCGGCCTGTGGTCCAGAAGACCCAGGTTCAATTCCCGCTAGGGGTGTGTACCTCAGTTGCAGTTTGTCCCCGGCCCTGGCTGGTCGTGCGGGTGGCAGCCACTCGATGTGTCCTTTTCACGTCGATGTTTTTCTCTCTCTGTCTCTTCCTCTCTCTCCCTCCCACTCTATCTGAACAAAAAATGGAAAAATGTCCTCGGGTGAGGATATTAAAAAAAAAAAAAAATTTCCACTGCTCAAAAAGAAAAGTCCCAATGTACTCATAGATAGTATAGTATCCAAAAAAGTGAAAAATATATACCTATACATATTTAACTTTTAGCCATGTTATGCCTCTGTTATATTAAACCCCTTAAAACATTTAAATACAGACCTAAAGTCTATCTATTTCTATGAATTAAGCAACTGAGAATGTCAATTTTTAAGTAATTATTTAAAATACAAAATAAATAAGAGTTAGGTATCAAAATAATATATATCTCTTTTAATCCTCTACTGGAGTGATCAATAACCTTTTCAATATGCACATCTATTAATACAGCAAACCATCATATTGAATACAGATTTAAGGATGATGCAAAACCATGTAAACCTTTGCTTGGCTGAGGAGCAGAGAGCCTTGCCAGTGGCGTCCATCATTTTGCCAGCTTGCGTTGTGTCTCGTTCTGCTTGAAACTTTAAAAAGAGTCCTAGTTCATTTTCTTCCTCTGATATAACTAGGAAAAAAATCACAGGATAGTTAATTGTTTTATTTTTATCGTTTGTTTCACACACACCCATAACTAAAATTCTCACATAAATAATTATCTATACATAAGAACTACTTGGGGGAAGAAAAAGACATTTTAAAAATGCAATTTCTGGTTTCTGCTTCTAGAGATTCTGATTTCATAGGTCTGAGGATCTGCTTTTTTTTAAAACAGGCACTCCAGCCTTGGCCAGTTTGGCTCAGCGGCTGAGCCTAGGCCTGCGGACCAGAGAGTCCCGGGTTTGGTTCCCACTAAGAGCACGTACCTTGGTTGAAATTTTTTTCCCCAGCTCTGGTTGGATCGTGCGGGAGGCAGCCACTCAATGTGTCCCTTTCACGTCGATGTTTCTCTCTCTCGCTCTTCCTCTCTTTCCCTCCCACTCTATCTGAACAAAAAATGGAAAAATGTCCTTGAGTGAGGATAGAAAAATAAAAAATAAAAATAAAATAAAACAAGCACTCCAGATGGTTTTGATGCAGTGAATCTATGGAACTTGACTTGGGAAAGATTGATCTTAAATAAAAAAATTAAAAGTAAAAAATGACAAATAAAACAAAACAACAAATGATGCATTTTCAAATGTGCAGAGATGCATTTTAGGAATTTCCTCTTACCAAGTATTCATTTCCTATTTAAATTTAACTTATTCTTGACTCCATCTTGGTTTCCATCCTAGCTCAGTACCCCAGACCCACAGATGTCCACTATTTTGCTGCTGAAACCCTAAAAGTTGTGGTGTAGTACCTTACTACTCAAAATGTGATCCACAAACCAGCCCAGACACATTTGTTACCAGCCTGTGGCAAGTACCAAAACTAAGAAATGGTTTAGAAACTTTTACTAATTTGACTAAGTATTTTATATCTGTTTAATAAATAACGTGTGCTTATATTTTTCATCTTCAACTTCATTTTTCTAAAAATTACTTTTTTTCCCCCCCAGACATGTCAGTTTATAACAGACTGGAAGTAAACCACAAAACAAAAAGTGGTCCTGTACCACAAAGTTTTAGAAGCACTGATCTAGTGCACAACAACCCTCTAATCACAATAACGGGGAGACCATAAAGTGTTAAACTGTAAGCTTAAAGTGGAAAAAATGACAAATGTCACACCTAGTTTCACCCTCGTTTACTGATGGAAAAACTGAAATTAAAAACTGAAAGGGAAGTCCCTGGGTACCTCTGAGGCAGCAACAGGACTCAGGCCTTCTCCCCTGCTTGCTCCCCATTCCCACTGTTCCTCCCGTTGTGCCTACAAGTGCCAACACGTTCTGCAGCATCATCTTTAATAAAGCCAGTGCTGTTTTCTGAATACTTAACCTGCACCAGAGTAGCCTGGATTTGGAGAGTCTTGTTAATTTAATACTTTGATTACTTGAGAGATATACTGATTACACATTTCCTTGAATCAGAACTTCATGAAATATATCTCAGTGAAAACTACTAAAAATATTAATTTATATATAATTATTCAGAAAGCTGAGAACTTGAATTATTTTATTATCAAGTATCAATTGACCATACATTATCATTGAGCCTTGTCCTTATCAGTACAGAAAGAGTAGGAAATGAAACTGAATTTCTGCTAATTTGTTTTGGGATCTGCTGCCAATAACTAGAGGCCCTACTCCCATGTGTCCTTCCTCCAGTCAAGTGTTTCCTATAAAGATTAAAGGTGCTGGACTAATATACTGCAGTTGTCTGATGTTAGTCTCAAAAGAAGATATAATAATAGAATAGTTTTCAAGAACTCACATAATTAGCCCTGGCTGGGTGACTCAGTTGGTTGGAGTGTCATTCCATACACCAAAAGGTTGAGGGATCATTTCCCAGTCAGGGCACATACCTAGGTTGCAGGTTCAATCCCTAGATTGGATATGAGAGGCAACCAATCGATGTTTCTTTCTCTCTCTCTCTCTCTCTCTCTCTCTCTCTCTCCCTCTCTCTCTCTCTCTCTCTCTCCTCTCTAAAAATCAATAAAAACATATCCTCAGGTGAGGGTTCAAAATAAATAAATCACACAATTATACACAATCTTGAGGAGAAAGTACACAATGAAATCTATATGTATATATCTCTTCCTTCCTGGAATGCTCCACTGGCTAAAAAAATCTAGTGATTTCAGAAAAAATACAGGACACACAAAATTTGCTAATATTTTCATATATATATAATTTTTTTATCCTCACTCGACATTTTTCCATTTTTTGTTCAGATAGAGTGGGAGGGAGAGAGAGGAAGAGAGAGAGAAACATCGATGCGAAGGGACACATCGAGTGGCTGCCACCCACACGATCAACCAGAGCCGGGGATAAACTGCAACCGAGGTAAGCGCCCTTAGCGGGAGCTGAACCTGGGTCTCTCTGGACCGCAGGCTAAGGCTCTAATTGCTGAGCCAAACCGGCCAGGGCTCATTTATATTTATTTTTATCCTCACCCAAGGATATTTTCCCATTGGTTTTAGATAGAGCGGAAGGGCGTTAGGGAGACAGAGACACAGAAACAGAGAGAGAAACATCAATGTGAGAGAGACACATTGATTGGTTGCCTCCCACATGACCAAGACCAGGGCCAGGGATTGAACCTGCAACCCAGGTACAAGCCCTTGACCTGGAATTGAACTCTCAACCCTTTGGTCCAAGGGCTGATGCTCTAACTGCTGAGCAAAACCTGCCAGGGCCACATTTTCCTTTCGATCATAGGACTCCCTTGGTTCAATAGCTATGATGGCTTTTACTGCTTGGTAAAACACAGTTGGCTCTCGTTTATCGTGGTTATTCAGTTCCAGACTCCATTTCACGAAGTAGGATTCTTTATTTATATACAGTCATCCTCCGCAACTTCGAGCTTCGACTCTCACGGCTTTACTCTATCGCAGTTTGTTTTTTTTTCTATCCTCACCTGAGGACATTTTTCCATTTTTTGTTCAAGTAGAGTGGGAGGGAGAGAAAGGAAGAGAGAGACAGAAACATCAACGTGAAAGGGACACACTGAGTCGCTGCCTCCTGCATGACCCAACCAGGGCCAGGGACAAACTAAAACCGAGGTCCGTGCCCTCTTACCTCGGTTAGCAGGAACCGAATCCCAGTCTCTATGGACCGCAGGTCGACACTCTAACCACTGAGCCAACTGGCCAGAGCACTGTGGCTGTTTTTTCAAATACTATACTATATTTGAAAAACCATGATAGAGTGAAGTCGCGAAAGTCAAAGCACAAAGTGGTGAGGGACTACTGTATTTCAGGTCCTTAGCAGTGTGACCCACCTTCCTTTGCTCTTTCATCCCCTTATTAGTCCCAATTACACACTCTTCTGCCCTTGCAGACTGTTCTCACTCTTTAAGTTTATCCCTCTGACTCCAAACCTCATCTTTTCTCCACATAGTCAATTTCTATAAACCCTTTAAGTTTTATCTCAATTTTTATCAATGGAATTGCCTTTATTAATTACTCTAATCCATAGTTATTTTTCATTCTGAGAGAATTCAGGGTTACATCTGTATCACTATTCTGAACTCAATTACATACTATTTTGTATCTCTTGTTCTGTCACGAAAAGTTGTTTCTCCAATGATTTACTTGGGAAAAATACATAGTCTTATACATACATGGCAGGCACTCAAAAAATTACCACGCTATACTGGATTTCTTGCTTTAATGGAACAATATCTGAGCTTTGATTATAATGTTTTGAGATTAATATACATAGCCACACAAGAAAATCATTCATTGAGCAAATATTTATTGAGTACAAACTATATGCTAAACATTATTTCTAGGCTTTAAGGACCCAGAAGTAAACAAAACAGACAAATTCTTGTCTAATTTAAGGAGAGCGTTTTCTAGTGGTGGTAAGAAAAACATTGATAAAACATATAGAATGTTGAATAGTGTTAAGAAGACAACAAAGTTATGAGAAAGAGGGGTATTTTGTTTTAGATATAGGGGTCAGGGAAGGCCTCACTGAAAAAAAATTACATTTGACCAAATACATAAAGGAAGTTAGGGATTCTGCTATGCAGATATGCCTACTGTGAAGATCAGTGTGGCTGAAGAGGGGAGAGTTTTAGGAAATGAGGCCAGAGTGGTAACCAGGATCAGAGAGGTGGCCATGTCCAGTAGGCCACTGCAATTAAAGCAAGAGAAGAGATCCAAGATTTAGTTCCAACTTGAAGAGCTCAAGAAGAGAGAAGAATCCAGCAAAAGCAGGATGCTGAGAAGGAATGACCAATAGGAGGAAATCCAGGGAATTATGGTGCCTGGAAGCCAGAGCTATCAAGGAGGAGGGAATAATCAACAGTGTTAAATAATGTGATAAGTCAAATAAAATAAGGACTGAGATTGGTTGTTGGGTTTAGCTTTTGTGATAATGATGAGCAATTTGGTGTAGTGGTGGGGATGAAAACTTAACTGGAGTGAGTACAAGAGAAAGTGGAAGGACAGGAATAAAGACTGTGCATAAAGACAATTAGGTAAAAATGTTCTCTTAAAGGAACAGAGGAATGGGATGGTTACTGCAAGAACAAGTGGAGGGGGCAAGTCAGGAGAGAGTGTTTTTAAGTGATGGAAACAAATCCACTTAAGACTCTGAGCAGGAAAACAGCTCAGCAAAGTGAATCTGTGTCAGAGGACATGGGGACTTTTAGAACAGGTGTTTACGTTGTCATAAGAAACTAGTCATAGCCCTGGCCGGTTTGGCTCAGCGGTTAGAGCGTCAGCCTGCGGTACAGAGAAACTAGTCATAAAACAATTCAATAAACTATTTTTACATTAAACATTTCATTCAAATAAATATTTATATTACACTGGAACTACAGGATATATATCTATGATTTCATACCATTGAGACTTAGCTGGTATTTCTCAACTATCTTCAGAAGGTCAGTGCATGTCTCTTGAATGGAGTGAAAAACCTTTAAAATACAAATTTTATTAGGACAATTCAGAGAACCATAAACAAATACAAAATGTCTGTTGTAAGTACTCCAAAACAGAACATTTTCTTATTTATTTATTTTATCGTTGAAAGTATTACAGATGTTCCCTGTTTTCCCCATTGACACTCCCCTTCCCAGAACATTTTCTTGTAAGTATTATGTCTATTTTCCTGGACTGTGATGTACTTCAGTTTTGGTTTTATTTCTGATGTAGAAAGCACATTTAGATTCCCCTCATGATGTTTGGAAAAAATAGTAATAAATACATGGGAGCTAATAAAAATTTATGATTGTGGAGTTTGTCCTCCCCTCAGCTCCAAACTATCTACACAGCAAAAAGGTAAATCCAATATAAATTCCACCAGGCATAGCCAACCACAAATGAAAAAGAGTACAGATAACCTTAGAAACTGTTAACTCTGACTCTGGCTTTTCTTCAATATTGGTGTAAGCAAAAGAGGTCAGTGAATTTACCATGAAAGTTAAATAATGTATTACAACATTAAAAATAAGTTACTTGTAAATTATTTTTGTTTAGGATTAAGTAACTAACTAAATTATCCAGAACCCTCCCATTTCAAACTAGGCACGTGAAAATTTGAGATTAGGGCACATACACATGAGGTCACTCTTCACACACATCTATAAATGTAGGATTTCCGGCCCAGCTGGTGTGGCTCAGTGGATTGAGCATCCTCCCTCGGAATGAGAGGTTCCAGTTAGATTCTCAGGCAGGGCACATGCCTGGGTTGCAGGCTCCATCCCCAGTAGGGGGTGTGCAAGAAGCAGCCGATTGATGTGTCTCTCTCATATTGAAATTTCTCTCTCTCTCTCCCTTCTTCTCTCTCTAAAACAAAACCAAAACAAAACAATAAAAATATATTTAAATCAATAAAATAGTTTAAAAATATTTTAGGTTTTCCTGAGAACTGGCTGGCATAGGTTTTAGGGTACACCTTCTTCTAACAAACTCCTATGCTAAAGAATTGCTATGAAACTAGTTCTAAAAAAAACTTGGCACTGTGATATATTAAGTTGTAACACTCTGATTATCAAATAGATTTCCAATATCACGATTACTCCTGATCATCCTATGTCTAAAGCAGTTTTGCTATTATTTTGATGTGTGGTCAGAAGGAAGATTGGCCCTGGCCGGTTTGGCTCAGCGGTTAGAGCGTCGGCCTGCGGTCCCGAGAGACCCGGGTTCGGTTCCCGCTAAGGGCACGTACCTTGGTTGCAGTTTGTCCCCGGCCCTGGTTGGGTCGTGTGGGTGGCAACCACTCGATGTGTCGCTTTCACGTCGATGTTTCTCTCTCTCTCTCTCCCTCTCACTCTATCTGAACAAAATATCAAAAAATGTCCTCGGGTGAGGATAAAAAAAAACAAAAACAAAAACAGAACTAAGGAAGATTGGTAATAGATACTAAGATGTAAGTGGAGAAGAACCATCAATTTTTCATGTAAGGTTAGGTATGTTTAAATTGAATTTGGTATGTATATTTGGCAACTTAAAAAGCTGTTTTAAATCTATATGGAAGAAGCCTAGGAAAGAATACAAAAATGATAGTTGTACTATGATGAAGTGATTATGGTTGATTTTTTCCCATGGGTCCTTGAAAGATTTATATACTATTGCTTTTTTATGTTTACACTGAAATTTTTTTTTCAGTTTTAGTGAGGTATAATTTTACAAATAAAATTATTATATATTTAGCCCTGGCCGGTTTGGCTCAGCGGTTAGAGCGCCGGCCTGCGGACCAGAGAGACCCGGGTTCGGTGCCTGCTAAGGTCATGTACCTCAGTTGCAGTTTGTCCGCGGCCCTGGTTGGTTGTGCGGGTGGCAGCTACTCGATGTGTCCCTTTCACGTCTATGTTTCTCTCTCTCTCTTTTCCTCCCACTCTGTCTGAACAAAAAATGGAAAAATGTCCTCGGGTGAGGATAAAAAAAATATATATATATTTAAAATGTACAACATAGCCCTGGCCGGTTTGGCTCAGCGGTTAGAGCATCAGCAGGCAGACCAATTAGTTGCAGGTTTGATTCTGGTCAACGGCATGTACCTGGGTTGCGATTTGTCCCTGGCCCTAGTTGGGGTCGTGCGGGAGGCAGCCACTTGATGTGTCCCTTTCACGTCGATGTTTGTCTCTCTCTCTCACCCTCCCATTCTACCTGAACAAAAAATGGAAAAATGTCCTCGGGTGAGGATAAAAAATAAATAAATAAAAATAAAGTGTACAATATAATTATTGATATAAAAATAATATTTCTCATTCTTAAAAGGTAGCACAAATATTCTTGACTGATTCTAAATATTTGTCTAATGAACTAGAATAAGACTAAAACACAAAATACATCACCCATAGATTATGTAATGATGTAAAACAATACAAAAAAAATCTACTTCTGGGGAATATGGGTGGAAATAGTGATGAGTTCCCTTAGTATTAAAACATATAATACTTATAATAAAGTCCCTTTTTTCCCCTCACATTTGTCATTGAATCCTAAGAGGAATACTTTTCAACACAAATAGTAAAAGCTTGTTAATTTGCTATCTATTTTCACATCTGTTATGGCAATGATATAGTTTAATATTAAGAATGAAAATACTTAGATCAAGAACTATTTAATTAGATCTTTATTTTTAAGAGTCCCAACAAATGATTATATTTCAAGCACAACAGAGCATGTTTGGAAATATTTGTACAAGTTATCTTAACTTAGTATATGTACATGGAATTAATAATTCTGCATTTAAAAATCCAGACCTTTCATTAATATACATGAGACCTTTCCTCTAATTAGCTTAAGTTTTATAGTAATTATTCCTTTTATTTAAATAAAAAAAACAAAGCCAAAATATATTATGAAATACTTCAATAACTCTATCCCTTAATAATTGAAACAAAAATTCTAGCTTATAAAATTCTCACTCACTATTTGATTTCAATTAGTTTATTTCAGTGAGGTGTAAGACTTCACATAAATGTACTAAAGCTATTATGACATAATATATGGTCTCAATTAGAAATATGATTAATTCATTAACATTTAGCTTAAAAACTATAATACTTATGCCAGAGAAATGACTTAATTCATGATTTATCTAATTTATGAACAACAGTCTGTCAATTCTCAATTTGTGAGAATTGTGACCACCTATAGAGAAGATCTAACAGATAGATACAATTAAACATTATCAAATTTGCATTTATCCCAATAAGTTCTTCAGTGTGAAAACTTGTCACAGTCCCAAATAACAACCAGCTATATGCAATACACAGAAGTCTCAAATTTACCTCAAGTTTAGCATCCAATTCTGCATCAGATGCCACCACGTGCTCATCCTCTTTTTTTCCTGTGGCTTTGATAAAAACCTGTTTGGTTTTCCAGTATTTCTTTTGCATTCTGTTGACTACTGACTGGTTATCTTCTGTTCTAGGTTGCCCAAGGGAATCCATGGAGTGACTACAAGGAACAGACTAAAATGAAAGGTCTTTTAAAAATATTTTCAATAATAAATATTTGTTTAGCCAATATTTAATTGAAAACTAAAAAACAATGCTAAATAGAATATTAATGTTAACAGCTAAACATGCTAATGTTTGCTTTGTATGATCTAAATAATTACTTGCACAAGATAACAGGCAAAAAGATTGATACTTAATTTCAGTTAGTATTGATTTTGCAATAATGGCTGGAAATAATTCTAATTTTATGTGAACAATTTCTATTTGTAGACATTTATTAGTTTCTAATATTTCCTTTTGTAATACTACAAAATGAATTTGTACACACATCTTTGCATACCACTATCATTTCCTTAGGAAAATTTCCTTTGATTATAACTGCTTGTCAGAAGAATATAAATTTAATAAGTATTCTCAGATATGCAAAGATTCAGATACATACTATTCTTTAAAAACCACTCAAAGAAATACTTTAGTATCCAAAAAACAAAGTTCTAAGGTATAAGGGAGATCTGTTCTAAAAGAAATAAAGATGAAAATTATAACCTGTAAGATTAAAAATTAATGTTGAAGTGATTGTTTTTAACATGGCTAATGTGACTATATAATGAAAGGCAAATGTGAAAAGTATTCCTTAAGGAGAAGTAAAAAAAGAAATAATAATAGTTTTTAAAGCTCAAATTATTCTAATAAATGGTGGGAGGTAGGAGCAAAGGGAAGTACTAAAGTATGTGACTCATCATTTCCAAGGGAATCAATAGATACTAATGCATTCTTTTTTTTAAATATGTTTTCATTGATTTTTTAGAGAGAGAGGAAGGGAGAGAGACATAGAAACATTAATGAGAACGAGAGAGAGACATCAATCGGCTGCCTCCTGCGTGCCCCGTACTGGGGATGGAGTCCGAAACCCAGACGTGTGCCCTGACCAGGAATCAAACCAGGACTTGTCAGTCCAGGGGCGATGCTCAATCTACTGAGCCACACCGGCCAGGTGATAGTAACATATTCTTAATGTTGGTAAATAAATAGAGGTTCACTTTCTTTTTATTTTAAAGTAATTACTAATGAAATAAAAACAGGATGTCTAATTTATAAATTACTAGAGGCAAAACAAGAAAAACTAGCAAAAGCAGGGTGGGAAAAACAGGAGTAAGGCAACATAAAAAACAGTATAAATGAAGATGACAGAATAAGAACAAATATACTATTTAGTATGATAAATGCAAACTTCCTCTTAAACACAAAGAACTTTAAATAATAGAAAACAAAAAACTATATCCAACTGTATGCTATTTGGGATCCTAAAACAACAAACAGTATTATACTGTTATAATGCATTAGACAGCATTATACAGAACAAACAGCATTACACTGTGCTGACACACAGTCTTGAGGGAAAACTTGGCAGTCCATCTTTCCCCTTCAATTTCTCTCTGCTTTTGGTTGGTCTTGATTTGCTTTTTATTAGTTCCACCCTCCCCAGATTGTTATTAGCATGATGGCCAGTCCAACTGTATGACAAACTACTGATTTCTTCTACTAAGTTGACTGCAGGCTTAGGCCCAATCAGTTAAGAGAACAAAATCTAGGGATTATCAGAAGAGAACATCTATTCCCTACCTCAACTTCCATGCTGATGTAGCTCAAACAGTACTCTCCTGGCCTCTTTCCACTCCCTCACTATCTCCTTCATGGGGGAAAAAAGAATAATTTATCTGACTGGATTTCAGAGCAATAAACTTAGTCTTCCATTTCCTGTCTGGAAGCTATCCTACCTAAAGAGCCTACACAATCCCTGGCAAGGGGAGGACATTGGCTGGGGGAGTGTGTGAGGGGATGTAAATCAGCAGAAAGTAAGATTTGTACATCTGTGGTTTTCTGATTGAGGGCACTGCTAAATCTGCTTGCCACTGGGGGTAAGTTGAGCAGAAAACCAAATCTAACTGGCTTGAGACATTAGATGATAGAGTTCAAGGCTAGAGAACTACCAGAAACTTAGAAAAAATATTCTGGAAGGAAGAGAGCCAAAGAGAAGGTGATCCCAAAAATCTATATACAAAGTCCTCCCATGACCTGTGCTGATCATGAGGTGAGGGAGGAGACCCCAGGGGTCCTGGCAGAAAATCAGCTGTTGGAAACTAAAGTAACTCAGTAAAGATTTCAGCTGCTACCACTACAGAGAAGAGAAGCTCTGGAGACAGTTCAACCAAGTTAACCGCCTTTAAAATAAAAATTATTCTTTAAAGAAGCAAAACAGAATCCAGAGTTTCTAAAATTTATCATTTAAAATGTCAAAAATCCAATAAAAAACACTACACATATAATGAAATAGGAAAATGTGGCTCATACTCCAGGAAAAAAAAGGCAATCAATAAAAACAGATTCCAAACATTTCCCAGATATTTTAATTATCAGAAAAGCATTTTAAAGGCGCTATTATAAACATGTACTAAGACTTAAGTAGAATATGTGCACAATAAATGAGAAGAGACAGCCCTAGACGGTTTGGTTCAGTAGTTAGAACATTGGCCCATGGACCAGAGTTGCGGGTTTGATTCTGGCCAAGGGCACGCACCTTGGTTGTGGTTCGCCCCGGCCCTGGTTGGGGTCATAGGGGAGGCAGCCAGTTGGTGGCCCTGGCCAGGTAGTTCAGTTGATTAGAATGTTGTTCTGATACACCAAGGTTGTGGGTTTGATCCTGGTCAGGGCACATACAAGAATCAAACAATGAATGCATAAATAAGTGGTACAACAAATTGATGTTTCTTTCCCTCTCTCCCCCTTCCACTCTCTCTCTAAAATCAATTAAAAAAGAAAAAAGAAGTCTGGGATCAAACTGTCCCTCCTTTACAAATAAGCTTGATTTTCCCATTTGAACATTTTAGAGAGTATTTATCCCCTCGAATATTTTTCAGCCATAATTTCTCCTTTTTATCTGAGTCTCCTATTAGGTGTTATTTTTTATATGTCTTAATGTCTCATTTTTATGTTTTTCTGTGCTATATTTTGAATTAATTTCTCAGTACAATCTTCCAATTTATGAATTCTCATTTCAAATCTATTTAGTCTAGAGTTGATACCAGCTATTGAATTGTTGTTTGTTTTTTTTTTAAAAAAACTCAGTGACTGGCCTGGCCAGTGTGGCTCAGTGGACTGAGCATCATCCCATAGACTGAGAGGTCCCACATCAATTCCTGTTCAGGGCACATGCCTGGATTGCGGGCTCAATCCTCAGTGGAGAGTGTGCAGGAGGCAGCCGATATTTCCCTCTCATATCAATGTTCAATGTTTCTATCTCTCTCTCCCTTACTTCCTCTCTAAAAAAATCAATGAAAACATTAAAAAAAAAAAGGCTTTTAAAAAAATTTGTCTAATATATCTGGTGCTTCCAATTCTCCTAATTTCTTATCGAATATCATTCCAATTTTTCTCTTTGTACCATAACTGTATAGAATATTTAGGTTTTTCCATAAAATTATTTTCATCTGGAATGAATTATTATTCCAAATGTTGATTTTATTGGCTAAATTTTGTAGGCTCATTGTGAATATAGAATGATTTTTTTCCCTTTTCTTCTCTGTGGTTATTCCTCCTTATCTAGTGGTTATGTATAGAGTTGTCTCCACTTCACCTTCATGGTTCCTACTTCCACAGTGTATTATACTGATATGTTAGAGCCCCTGGATAGTCTAGTGATATCTGAAATACTGTTTATCTAATCAATGAGTTGGAGGAACACTGAATGGAAAACAGTTAATGTCTACCAGCCTGCAGAAACTAAACTCCCAGACTCCAGGGCCTACTTTTTTTTTTTATCCTCACCGGAGGACATTTTTCCATTTTTTGTTCAGATAGAGTGGGAGGGAGGGAGAGGAAGAGAGAGAGAGAGAGAGAAAGAGAAACATTGACACGAAAGAGGCACATTGAGTGGCTACCACCCACACGACCAACCAGGGCCAGGGACAAACTGCAACCGAGGTACGCGCCCTTAGCGGGAACCGAACCCAGGTCTCTCTGGACCGCAGGCTGACGCTCTAACCCCTGAGCCAAACCAGCCAGGGGTCCAGGAGCTACTTTTATACTGATTCGGTTCCACTCACCACTTTTTCTATCTTGTTTCTGGTCCACATTTATCTTTTATCTAGCCAAGATAAATATTTTTGGGTTTGTTTTTTTGCATGACTATTATGAGTTTGGGGCAAACCTTACTATGTCATCTAAACAGAATCTTTATTTCTAACACGACGTTTTTTTTTTTTTTGAAACACAGTCATCACATAGAACACTTTCATTTTTGTCCTATACTGCACAATATTTATTTATTTTATATATATATATATTTTTTCTTTATTGATTTTTAGAGAGAGAGGAAGGGAGAGAGAGAGAGATAGAAACATCGATGAGAGAGAACATCGACTGGTTGCCTCCTGCATGTCCTCCACGAGGGGTCGGGCCTACAACCTGGGCATGTGGCTTGATCGGGAATTGAACCGGTGACCTCTTGGTGCATGGATTGATGTTCAACCACTGAGCCACACCTGCCGGGCTGTCCTATACAATATTTAAATGTTTTACCTATCTCCTGGATTTAGAGTATAAATCTTAAAACAAATCAATATTCTTTTTAGTGGTAGTTCTATACACACTCTACTTAACCTGTTAACCGGGGAATTCCCTTTTTACTGTATGCAACGTTTGACGTATACATCCTGCTTGGTTAACAGGTTAAAATGTTTCATTACGGGGGAGACTGAAAATGGCTGCGGAGTGAATGGAAGCTAACAGACCATCTCCCAGGACCAAACTGGAATTACAACGAAAATAAAGACAAATCGTCAGGAAAAGGCAACCGAAAAGCAGCTTGGAGGACCACATAACCAGGGACACTGACTCAATCCTGGTAGGCTTGCGAAGATGGGGGGGGGGGGGCTGGGAGCCCACGGTTCCCAGCGGCCTGGGCTGGGAGCTGCAACAGCCTCGACTGGGACCTGCGACCTCGGCTGGGAGCT